ATTTCCTCGTTAATTCTACTTATCTGTTTTTTATGTAAATTACTCGAAGAAGATTACATATCTGAATCTCTATTGAGGATTAAGAACTCGTTGTTTACCTTTTAAATTTTAATATGGAGTTATTCTGTTAGTTTGTAAGATGATTATTATTCTATTAATTTATTTATCTAGTTATTCATCTTCATTAGATCAACAGTATTTGACTTCTATGTAATATTAAACTTCTAAACCGTATTTTCTGTAAGCTGACTTTGTGACTAGATCATGTCGTTTGAAGAGTTCATTGATAGATAGTTATTTTTCAAGATATCTATAAAGTCAAATTCTATCCAAGGTTATTTAACTTAATATTTTCAAGATTATTTATTTTTATATACGACAAGAAGTTTTTGAGTCAGTATCATGTTTAACATAATTGGGTAGAACAATCAATGATATTGTTCATAGGTGATGTAACAATATTTACGATCGGCTCTTTTTAATTCTTCATCATAGTTATCTGAATGTAGGCAAACGAAATTTTTGTTATTTATATGATTGTTAAATCGTGTAAAAAAGATAGAAATATTTCCAATTACCTTCTGATAATCTGATTTTGGAGATTTTCTTCAATTTTAGTTTTTCAGTATTTGATTAAGATAAAGTCATTGCTCATTGTTGAGTATACATCCCATGTATATATAATTTATCTTTGTTTTACTTTCTTTTTATTGTAAATACACCTAATAGCCGCCAGTTTCCAGCATATCAAAATGTGACATCTCGACGAAAAAGTTTTCCCTGTTGCTAGCAAACAATCTGATTTTTCATAGAATTTTTTTTATTGTCTCATCCTCAAACATGTAATATTTCAAAAGGATCAAGTTGTTTTTTTGAAGTGGCTAGCAGAAGAGATTTTCATAGAAGTCTTCTATACGGAAGATTTATCTTCCATCATGTGATGAAAGACTTATCAAAATTTTCCTTAACACTCTCGGCTAGTTTTTAGTGCAGATTCTACTCGAAGCGAAATTTTTTCTCGTAAAAACTACTAAACAAATCACCGTTGTAATCCAAACATAATCCCGTAGATATGTAATTTGTTTATATAGAAGATTTATTTGTTTAGGGAATGAATCAAGTAAGAACAAAAAAGGGTATGGGTGTGGATATGAATGAAGCGTCTACGCACATCCTTCCACATCCACACTCCATACATACATCCAAATACTTACACACTCAAAGCTCACATCCACATCCATCCTTTCTTTTTTGTTGTGAATGAAACATAAAATAAAATTCAATCCATTAAAATAAATTAAATTACATTATTAATGTTATCACCGAGCACTGTTCATAGTTTGCTGAAAGGATATTTTGATAGTGGAGAACATTTTTTTGACGGATCATACCACTAAGAACCATTTTGTTAGCAACATTTTTCACCAAGAACATCCATTCTGAAGGACATTTTTTTCAAGTGCGAAAAGTCGGAAATATTTCGTAAAGGACATTGTAGACTGTTATCTTCTAATTTTCATATGATTCTTTTATAGCGATCATGAGAAGAAAAAAAAAAGACATTTAAAAACGTTGATAGTAATTACATATTGCTTGTCCATTACATACCAAAGAAATATATTCTATGTTCTAAAAAATGCACTTTGGATTCACCGTTGGAATTCTTCTTTTTAGAGCGACTCTTCTATCATTACCATAAACATATAACCTAGGATGTCTGATTGTAAAAATAGCTCGAAATTTTACGAAAGAATGCATTCAAAACTGAATTACTTTTTTTTTTGTTTTGTTCATTCTGACTAGATTCTACATATATATTGTTTGTCTCGTTTTATTGTTATGTAATATCTTTTCTATGGCGTGTAGATTAATGAACAACACAATAGAATATATTATACCATGAGGAAAATATATCAAGCATTTTAACACAATAGAAATCGGCTTTAGTTTTTTTTTCTCATTTTGAAACGTAAATTTCCCATTTTTAACTTTTGAACTTGGCAATTCTAGTTATTTTCTGATATTTAATTTTAGTTGTGTGCAATCTTGTTTTACATTAATGTTCGAATAAATAATATATTTATTAATACTAGCAGAAATTAATGGAAAGGGCACATTAACAAAGTTCAATCATATTAATGGAATCCTCTATTAAAAACATTGAAGTTTATTCATTCGTGTCAAATTTCTTTCATATGTAAAACCAATCAATAATGAAAGACAACTATTATCTCCTCGTTGTTGTTGTTAATTGATGTATGAAGCTAAAGAAAAATGGCTACGTCTTAATTGCGGGCAAAAATTAAGCCAATTAGTGAAAAATGACCGCTTTTTGGAATGACAAAAATTCGATTATCTCATTCTGTACTGTGTATCCAAAAAGCGGTCACTCTTTCACTAATTAGTAGTTGCGAAATTGAATTATGATGTGTGTGTGTGTGTGTGTGATTGATAAATATAAAAGGTGAGAAAGAGAATAGCATGTCATTTGATACGATGGATACAAAATTTACTTGGTCAACAACGCAAAAAGGTGAAAGAGCAATCTTGCACAATAATTTCGATGCTTATCAAAAAGTCTTACGAAGTATTTCTCATCGATATATGGATGTTTTAAAAGATGCTAAAGACAGTAGCGATGATGAGTAATGTTTTTCTTGTTTTGTTCTGTTTTTGTTCATATAGTAGTAGCATGAATAAATAACTCTCTCTACATATTATTATCATTTTATATTTGTTGATTGTTTCTTAATTGAAAGAATGACTGCTTTTTGGAAATACAGTACAGAATGAGATAATCGAATTTTTGTCATTCCAAAAAGCGGTCATTTTCCACTAATTGGCTTAATTTTTGCCCGCAATTAGGAAGCTACGAGAAAAATATAGCAAAATATTTTATGTCAAGAAACTATGAAATAAATGTGCAATAAACGTATTGTTTATGCTGTTATAAATGATGATCATTGAATACAAATGAGCTATTAGAAAAGTTCAATAAAGTTGAAATAGTATCAATATAAACAATTTTTTTATATGTCTGATGAATTATAATTTGATTGTTCGCAAATTTTTATTTCACAATTTGGTAATAGAGATGTGTTATATAAATGTAATAGTCAAGACATATTGGAAATATAAGATACCTCCTGAGTTTGATTAGGCAAAACACTTTTCATTTACTAATATTTCTAAGTATCTTACATGTAACCCTGTTCAGGAATATAGTAAAAGGTAGATCCTTTTTTTTTTGCAAAAGATGCACCTTTGAATGTTCTACTTGGATCATAGGACCAAATATTTGTAGCTATTTTCAAGATTCCAATATACCATTAACACTAAACGCGTGTGTCATCATGTTATCTCCCACAAGAAAAGATCGAACGAGTCCATTAGATGATTGACAACAAAGGCCATTTTTAATTAAACCGATGTTAGATAAAATGAATTATCGCAAACACTATGCAAAACCAAAACGTTCATCACTTAATCAATACTTTCTATGAGATCAGTACTGATTTCTTTTCAACATATTTTCATCATCTTCAGTTGAAGTCAACTTTCCTTTTTATTATTTTGTTAAGCTTAATTCTTTGTTACTATTTCTTTCAATAGTCGAGCAAGTTTAATCTGGTGATTTATGCATCAAGCTCGCTGTTTTTAGACGATGTATTTGAAACCAACACAGCCAAAAAATGTTTGATTTCAGGGTGAAGCATCGATATCAATTGACACAGACGTTATTATTTCACTTGTATTTGAGATGAGAAAGAGTATTAATATTCATGCTATGAAGGCCATACTAGTGCTCTGATTGGTTCCAAACGTTATAGCCAAAATGACTGAACAAAATTCAACAATTTTCGACTTTCTCTTATTTATTCTTGTACGAAATCACACGATGGCATACGTGTTCATTATGAGCAGTCTATTAAAATTTCAAAAATAGTTAGAAAGATTTGATTTCATGATCCGACTGGAATATTAAATGGCGCGTCTTTTGAAAAAAAAATGAATGTTCTCTGACAGAGTTACACGCAAAACTACTGCCGCACTCGATTTGAGTAAAGAAACTATTTAACATCTGAGACCTTGACCAATATATATATATTTATATTGGTTGGGACAATAGATACAAGTCATGAGTTATTGATGTTTAATCTAAAAAAAAGATTGTAAGCGATTTATTAGAAAATCGAGTAGGCTTGTCTCATATTTTCCATGTGAAAAAAGAAATATGGTTTTACTACTAAAGAAATTCATGATTTCTACTTGTATCAGACTATACGAAGTATTTAATAATTAAATTTCAAACATAATCAATATTCTTAAATTAATATTTAGAAATTTCTTTTATTCTTTCAAAATAATAAGTTTATTCAAAAAGAAATGCATAAGTATCAGGATAGTATACATTTATACGGTATAGATTAATGATCATGTTAATAAAATGAAGAGAAAAACAACTTATTTGTCTATTAATGTTTATATTTTTTCTTTTTTTTTCTTATTGTCTTAAATATGACGTGATAAACCAAAATTTTGACCAGATTGATTTGCACCTTTATTCATGCCTTCATTGAGTAAGCCAACCATAGATTGTCCAGCACGTAATTGTTCATCAGAAAAATCACGTTGAGTAGGGTCAGACATTTTAGGTCCAAGTACTGGTCCATTAAATTTCTTTCTTTGTGCCTAAAAACCAAAACTATCATAGCTAGATTAATAACATTATTGAATGCATTACTTACATGTCGACCTAATGCATGAATACATTGTGTTACTTGAGGAATATTACGTTTTTCAAAAAGATCTACTGTTTGAAAAAGTTCAGTATCAGGTAGACCATAATTACGAGCAGCATTTTCTATTTATTTATTGAATAAATACATATAATTATGAATTCAATAATAAATACTTACGAAAAGCAGACACATTTTCACGTAATTTAAAACCTCCACCTGATGTACAAATCTTTCCGACAGAACCTGGTTGAAGTTTATTCATCAATCTATGATTTTTTTAAAGTATAAAAAGAAAAAGATATTTCATTGAATTAGTTCACAGCAAAAAAAAAGAAAATCTTACTTGCACAAGATAATACCATCCTTAAGTGCATCGTCATAAGCACAATTTGGAAATTTCTCTCCAATGACAGCTTCAACCCATTGTTGAGCTTCACGATCCTGTTCTCCACTACGCTTTCCTGAAATCTAAACAATTCGGATATGTAAATATCATTGCTAAACAAATAGCTATTAGAAAATACCATGGATAAATAAAAGAAAGAAAGAAAGAAAGAAGGAAAGAAAGAAACAATTGATTACAATCGATATTGGAAGTATTTGTTAGCATCTCAAGAGATTTCTTAGCTCATGGTGTCCAACTAAGAGAAACATAATGTATATTGTAGAAATAACTATCATACGGGTTTGAATTGTTGTTACCATCAATGGCATATCTCGATCGTCTGTAGTAAAAGAAAGCTACTGTTATTTGTTTGTTTCTCCTTCTGGGCAAAATGAAACAACTCAAATCAATTTTATCACTCATTTAGAAACAACTCATATGTATATATTCATATAACAACATGTACAAAAGAAAAATGTATATGTACATTAACGAATTGTGATGTTAACATGTTATAGATCATATTTTTTCATTAACAAACGATAGTATGATTTTTAGATATGTATAATATACATATAAGATAAAAAGAGTCTAGAAAATGTTCTCACCTTTGCTTGATTTTCAGCTAGTGATCCATATGCAGGTCCGTAATTGGCCATTTTTTTTTAATCTTAATGCACGCAGCAAGTAGAAATGATAGTGCTAGAGCAAGAAAGTAATACCAATGAGTACTGACAAATAATTATCTGGATATTGCCACGAAAGATATATCCAAAATGGGCGTAGCAAAGAAAAAAAGAAAAGGAAGGAAAGAAAAAGAAGCAGGAAAAAGCGACAAAAGCGATATTGGTAGCTGACAGAAAATATGACATTCTTCTTTTCTTTTATAAAAAAAACTCGATGTTTCTATATTTGGAAAATGACGAATGAGGTCATGTCCAAATAAATAAATAGGTTCAAGGATATATATATATATATTCAATTTTGATAAGAAATAATAGTGAATAGATGACTAATAGAAAAAATAAAATAAAATCAACCGAATAAAAATTATCTACTAACATGTTTATAATTCCAGAAAATATAATATCAATCGTTTAAGATTAGTTTTGTTTTTTTTTTGAAAATTCGTACATCTTCCGAAAGCAGGCGATCAAAGACGGAAAACGGTGAGTGAGTGCTATATTTAGATTTGGAAACTAATTGTACAAAAAATAAATCAACAAGAAAAATATACAAGAAGTCAACTAGTCATTATGTTTATTATTGTTGCAGAATAAGAATTACTAGTATTCAATTAATTCATTTGATTGATACTGTTCAAGTCATAAACTATTACTAACAGTCAGTTTCAAATATTAATAACTGTTCTATCTTTGATTATTTACAAACCGATATACAAGCATTAGTATCGTCTTGGAACTAACTGTGATAACGATAGATATTTTGCATTACTTATAGTTGCGCTATTTCATCAGAAGCCTTTTATTTATTGCTTTATTTCTCTATCATTTCATTCCAGTGACAAAACATGTTAGGCCAATAGGAAGTCAAAAAACAATACGATAACAAGATGTAAACCAGCATCGAACAGATTGCAACAATTATTTCAATGAAGTCTAGTGGAATTGTCTGTTGTAGATATTCGCAGTAATTTTTTGATGCAGATGAAAG